TAATTAAAACAAACTCATGCTTAATTCTTCCAAACATGCCCAATTATAACATGCAGAAAATTGAATAAAGAAGCAGCCCATTGAATCAATAATAAGTGTTGTAATATAGATTGTCGTTATCCAAGTAGAGAAAGAAAGAAAATGGAGAAAGACCAAGAGACGAGATACAACTATAAACCTTTCATATCATTAGTTCACTTGGGCCCTATATATAAGAGAATACAATATAAATGACTAATGATTTAATGAGCTTCTGGCCCATACCTACGAAGTCTATATCTAAGTAATGTCCACAAATAAGTATTTACAATACTCCCCCTTGGACATTACCGCATCATGTCTACGCCTCGTTAAATACTTTGCTATAAATACCAGTAGGAAAAAGTAGTCGAGAAAAAGAATACATAACATATGCAAATTCATGTGTTACACTTGTTGTCACAATAAAAACTTTACTAAGTAAAAACCAATGGGAGAAAAACTTAGCTAAGGAAAAAAGAGTACAACACTGGTCAACCGCGCCCAATCTTCATAATTACAACTTGCCTTCTATGCTCGATCTTCAAACTTTATTTATTGCTCCCCCTGAAGGAAAAAGTTTTTTCTAGTTACATTCACAATTGTATGTTGCCCCCCCTCAAAGTAAGAGTTTCTAAAATGAAATCGTCATAATAATTTTGTTGCTCTTCTGGAGTTAATATGGATTAACAAAATTTCATCAATTGTATTCCTACAATTTATTGCGCAACACAAGCCACATTATCTTCGAGATAATTATTGAAAATTTTCAGTAATAAATAATAAAGGGTTTATACTATTGTAGAGGTATATAACCAATTTTGGACCCAACAATTCTGGGATTAATTATACAGTTGATGTCCTTATCCACCAATATCATATATCAAGTCCAAAGATAACTTAACATGCATGAAAGCGTATTGAGATAGTCTCAAAGTTTACCACGATATCTCTTTAAGAATAGAAATAGTAAATCTTGCTAGAAAAATCATTGCAAATACAGTATCAGGCCTGATGCAGTTTGCGAGATAAAAGTTTAGTTCAATTGCGCTTAGTAAATTAACCTCAAGACGTTTGTGGATTTCAAGTTCGTTGGAACTTCAGGTACTATAATATCCTAATTAGTTTTTGGATCTTTATAAATCATTGTCAAATTCAAAATATTTGACACTCATTTGTGTTATAATTTTACATCTCTAGAAAGAGATTCAAGTTGATTGGTTGGGTAAAAAATATTCCTTTTAGGAAATGCTCGATCCACAAGTCAAGATAATACTCTTTGGTATTTAACTAAGAGTTTTATTCTAACTCAGTCTATAAGCATGAGCTAACTTATTTAATCTTTTACATAGTATTAACTATATAACTATTTGACCGAGATGATCATTTTGTATATTATCATTATATACAAGGTTCCACCTTAAATTTCTTACTACTTCAGGAGAAATTTAGTTGGTTGTACTACATCTTACCAACAACTTTAAATAATTAAATTATTTATTATTTAATTATCTTTCATCTTCGGTACTCGATTCCATCCAGGACTTTCACATATGACTCAATAGTGATGGTAATGTTGTTGCGATAAATATTAACTTGCGGAATGATAATGAGAGAATATATCTAAATAAATATTTGGGTTTCTGCGTAAACCCCTGAGCGTAATCTCGCTATATTTACATCACACTACCATATCACATGTTTCATATAAATATTAATTATCCTTCTAGTATATATGCGAGTGAGTGAAAGCTCTGCCTCTACTTTCATTTCTATATGAATCAACCTAGCTTATAGCAATTTCACTCTTTTGATTCAGATCATTATTTTAGATAGTAAAGAAATCACATACGAAAGTATGTTGTCTACAACTATGATATTCTGGTGAGAAGATTGGTGTCGTGCGAGACGGGTGAAGACGGAAGCCGACCGGCGTGACGCGGTGGTGTTCTTCTCCGGCGGCTGAGCAATAAGACGAAATCTAACTGGATAAATGCGGTCGCCGAAAAATCGGCATAGGATGGCGGTGATCAGAGGCACCGTGGGGCGGAGCCTGGTGGCAGTCGGGCAGAGCTAGGTGGCCGTGGGAGGAGCCGACGTGTCTGTATGTGTAAGTGTGTATGCCCGATCTGTGCGTGTGAGTGTATGTGTGTGCAGAGTTTTAATGTGTATTTGATTGTGTTTGTGTGTGTGTATGTGTGTGGTGTTGTGTGGGTCTCCGTGTGTCTCTTGTGTGTAGGCTTGTGGGTTGTGTGTGTTAGGTGTGTGGATTGTGATGTGGCATGGTGATATGGCATGAACGTGTAATGGTAATGTCCAAATTACCCTTAATGAGTCTAATATCTTGAGTTTTTTTAGCCATTAGATCGTCTGATCTAATGACCAAAATGTATTCTTATTTATTTCATTGAGAACCATTCTCACTTGAACCCAATTATATATATATATATATATATATATATATATATATTTTATTTATAAGTGCGCTCAAATGAGAATAAATTACAATGAAAGAAATAAGAACTAATCTAAACCATTGGATCTATCACATCAATGGGAATGATCAAGTCTAACATATTCAATCATTAATGACAATATGTAAATAACTTAGACACCTCTGGGTCAAAACTTGAAAATCTAAGGATACTTGTGTAATTATGTACACCCACCCAATAAGTGGGGCCTACCACTATCTCCATTGACTTAACCCTCATCTCTCACGTAAACACACACAACACACACCTACACTCTCTTCACACACACGTATAACACACAGAGCATCTCAATAGGCACCGTCGCTCGGCCAAACCGTCACAGCCGCTCAGCTAAACCGTCGCCGCCGCTGCCCGACCACAACAGCTCTGCCACATGGCCATACAGCGCCACCGCGCAACCTCAACATCCCTAGCGCCCGACCATAACAACGTCGATGCTCGGCATAACAGTGTCGCCGCCCATCCATCAAAGCACTATCGATGATGATGGAGACGAGAAGCCGGTTGGATCTCGAGTCATGTAACTGGAGTCGCCGCGGCCGCCGACGATGATGACGCGTCTTCGACGAGAAGCCGATCGGAGTTCGAACCACGTAACTAGACCGATGATGATGACACGTCGTCGACAAGAAGTCTGCCGGAGTTCGATTCCGGCGGTGGCGTACGGTGTAGAGATGCGGATCTTGCGGTTGTGGAAGTGGTAACCGCCGGTGTGAAGGTACTGTACTCAAGATAATATCCCATCCTTAGTTGTAAATATATTTTGGTATCTTATGTATCTTGTATTTTAGGTAGTTTGGATCAGTAGGGATCTTTTCATGGCTAACAAGAAAGATTATTTTTCTTGTATTTATATCTCTTGTACATCTTCAGTTTCAATCCAAGGTAATTAAACCATTATCTTCCTTATGGTATCAGAGACAAAACCTATACATCCGATATAATGTATATTTTTTTCTGTCCAGTGCCATGGCCGAGAAATCTAAGATGCCGGCAATCGACTCTCCTTTATACATGTACCCGTCCGATAGCACGGGAACTCTGTTAACACAAATAATTCTCACCGGTGAGAATTACTCGACATGGGCCAAAGCCGTGAGACGTGCACTGGAGGCGAAGAACAAGGCGGGATTCGTAGATGGGTCGGTCCAGAAACCGGACAACCAACATCCCGACTACCATTGGTGGAATATGGGTAATAGCTTGGTTGTTTCATGGATCCTCAATTCTCTGGACAAATCACTACAAAACAGCGTTGTACATGCGGCTGATGCTCGAGCCATATTGGATGAGTTAAAGGAGCGGTTCTCGCAAGGTAATGTTCCTCGTATCCACCAATTGAAGGCGGAAATTAACTTGCTCCGTCAAGACGGTCAAAGTGTGACCAAATATTTCACAAAATTGAAGGGCCTTTGGGACGAGCTTGCCGACTACACTGACGCAGTCACTTGCACGTGTGCC